GCAACTACATTTTTCTGATAAAGTCCCACTTACTACTTGCATCTATACACCAAAAGTTTTTTGCAATCTTCTCCCCACCCCCAGCTTTCTCCTTTGATTTGTGTATATAACAAACAAGCTGAACTCAGGGCAGTGTCACGGTATCTCCATCAGAGTGCTGTGGCCCATCTGGTCCCAACTTTGCTATATTTCATTTGTGACTTGTGCCTTTCTCTTATATATCATCTCCCATCGCCCATGTTGTTGTTGTTGTTGTTGTTGTTAAGTGCCATCAAGTAATTTCCAACCCATAGCCACCCTGTATAGGGTTTCCGAGGAGCAACTGGTGAGCTTGAACTGCCAACCTTGCAGTTCAAATGGCTTTGCAGTCAGGCACATTAACCCACAGTGCCACACCAGGACTTCCCTATCGGGTTTAATCTCTCCATGCGGGTTGCAGAGGATAGCCACTTGTAGGACATAGCAACCTTACCCCTTAACCATTATATTCCAGCCACACAGATCTTTCTTCTTCTTGAACATCATATCTGTTTATATAATTTTGTCCAATTTTTTATTCATTTGTTTGTTCATTATCTACCCTCCTCAGAAAGTACTCTTTGTGAAAGCAGAAACCTTAACTATTGTTCACCATCGAATCCTTAGTGTCTAGAACTACACAGTAAGCGCTCAATATTTATTAAATGAAGCAAATATTACACCACTTTGTTAGATACTTCTTTTTCATAAACCAAAAGAACCAAATCCACTGTCATTGAGTCATATCCAACTCATAATGGCTGTACAAGGCAGAGTGAATTTGCTCCATGGGGTTTCTAAGACTGTAAATGTTTGCAGGAGCAGCTTTGAACTGCCAACCTTGCAGCTAGCAGTCTGACACCTAACCCATAGCACCACCATGGATCCTTAGGGCTCCGCATGGTGAGCTAAAATCTGCCTCTAATTCTTCAGCTCTGCCCTGCCCCTTGACTACAGAGAACAAAGCTTACTTCCTGTCTCTTCTACAGGCGCTAACTATTCACCTTGCTTCATCTGTTCCTTATTTCTACAACAGCAGCATTCTTTGGCCACTTCCACATACATGGTCTAGTTTGATCATTTCCCTGTTATTATTGTTATTTATTATCAAGTCAGCCCCCACATCATGATGACCCCATATACAAGGAGAAAAGAGTTTTGAGAGCCATGTAGTTTTTATTGTCTAATTTTTTAGAAGTAGATTTCCAGGTCTTTCTTCTTAGTCTGGAAGCACCACAAAACCCCATTCACCATCACAGAAACACAGAAACCTCTACTGATGGGTGTGTGGTGGCTATACATGAAGTTTAATGGGCCAGGATCTAGACTGTGTATCCCACACGGTGGTGGTGGTGTGCTGTGGAGTCAGTTCCAACTCATTACAACCCCTGCATAGGGTTTCTGAGGTTGTAAATCTTTATGAGAGCAGAAAGCCTCTTTGTTCTCCCACTTGTCTCCTACGTTGTTGTTGTTGTTGTTAGGTGCCGAGTCGGTACTGACTCATAGTGACCTTATGCACAGCCAAACAAAACACTGCCCAATCCTAAACCAACCTCACTACTGTTGCCACACTTGAGTCCATCGATGCTGCCACTTGGCCAATCCATCTCGTTGGGGGGTCTTCCTCTTTTTCTATGACCCTCCACCTTATCAAACATGATATCCTTCTCCAGTGACTAGTCCCTCCTGACAATAAGTCTGAAGTATGAGAAACAAAGTTTGGCCATCTTGGCCTCCAAGGAGCACTCTGCCTGCATTTCTTCCAAAACGGATCTACTGGTTCTTTTGTCATAGCAACCCTGTATAGGGTTTCCAAGGAGTGATTGGTTAGCTTGAACCACTGACCTTGCAGTTCAAACAACTTTGCAGTCTGACGCATTAGCCCACAGCACCACACTAGGATTAAGGGTAGGGAAAACAGTTAGTGCTATACAAACATGCCAGGTACAATGGCACCTCTGGAATTTCTATGTAGAAAGTTTGGGGCAACAATCTGATTGAATAGGAAAATGGTTACAGGAGTTGCTTGAAGTTGAATTCTGCAGAGCAAGCACAGTGCACTTACTAGCTTATTAGCTTATTTGATAGTTTGGGGAGGAAAGATAATTTTTCTCTATCACCATGCCCTCCTCACTTACAGCCTTCAGCCTCCAACTTGTTCAGTAGCTTCCTACTGTCGACTAAATAAAGTTT